CCAACTCTGATCTCTGTCCAACTGGATAGTCTCCAATCTGAAGAAGAAGAAGAAGAAGAAGAAGAAGAAGGAGGAAGAGGAGAGAGAGAGAGAGGGGACTGGCGAGGGAGAGGAGGAGAGACCCTCCAAGCTCCCGATACCTCAGGCGGTAATAACCGCCGTGCAAGCTCAGTCGCCCGCTGCTGCTCCGCTCGCTGCTGCGCTCCTGCTTCAGCCCCTGCGCTAAGTTTAGCGCTTCAAACAGTGCACTAGCACTGACCATGCCGTGCCGGTAGAGTTCCGGTAGGCCGATCCCACTACTGAGGCGGATACCGGTACTTATACCGGTGGGCAATGGTCTGGCCTCAATTGGCGGGCGGCAGTTTCAAGAGCGCCGCCAGGGCCAAACGAAGTGTCGTTTGGGCCTACCCGATGGGTGATAGTCCAAAATCAGGCCTTTAGGGCCTGTAAACCCCAAAGGTCAGGCCTTTAGGCCCTGGTGTGTCCCTCCGGCCCTAAGTCGGGTCCGGTAGGACCTGTGTGAGTCGAAGATGTAACACCCACTCTCTATGGACGGCTTTCAGGAGGTCAGCGACATCATCTCCCAGCGACATTACGGCAACAGGCCAACCGAGTACTTGGTACATTTTGCATACTGCACACACCGAGCTGACCGTTGGTTGACCCGTGCGGAACTTCAAGCAAAAGCTCCAGACGTTCTCGCACGCTACGAACGCAAGATGCAAGGCTAGCCGGTCTCTTCGGCTCCACGCCGCACCCGCGTCCAGGTTCCACCTTCAGATCGTCAACTTCGCCCTCGCCCCGGCTTGACTTCATAAGGAGGGGGGGGTGTTACATGCTGCGCCTGCACACGAGGGTCATTATCCATGCCCTGCGTCCCTCAGGCTGAAAGCCTGAAAACCAGGGCCTACAGGCCCCATGTCTGTTCAGCTCGAAAGCCTGAAAAACAGGGGCCTACAGACCCTGTGTCGTTTCAGACTGAAAATGGCAGTAGCCTTTTTAGCCTGAAACGAAGGGCCATTTTCGGTCTGTCATCAGACCGACCTGCCCTGAAACTCAGGCACTGAACCGGGGTTTTAGGAACAGGCTATTTTTGGCCTGTTCCCACGACAGCTGCAGCGCCAGCCCCTGGCTCAGCTTGGCATTGGCAAGAGCAGCCTCCTGGACTGCCCGCCTTGCAACTGCAGGCAGTCAGAGGCAGTCAGGAGGCAGGCCGAGGTAGTACATAGGGACTTCCCATGCACTTCACGGGTAGGCAGGAGGCAGTCTTCAGGAATCGGCAGCGGCACTCTGGAGCAGCGCTGCAGGAGTAGAGTAGCGTTAGCAGTCGTCTTCAGCGCTGGGCGCTGGTAGCGTTAGCTGTAGTCTTCAGCGCTGGGCGCCATAGCCAGAGTAGTACTAGAGAGAGAGAGAGATTGGTCAAAGGCCAGGGATACTTACGTGCAGCGCCGCTGCTCCAGCTTCGTCTTCGAGGTACCTGCAGCACAGCGCCATCTTCACAGGTTAGTACCTGGCATACAAGAGAGAGAGAGAGAGTTCTTCTTCTTCCTCTTCTCAGTCCACCACCTCCTTCTCACCCTCTCGCTATCTGACTTCACTGCATCGGCAGACTACGAGAGAAAGAGAGAGAGCTTGGTKACATTGGATCCAGACTCGACATGGGACTTCAGACATTTTGAAGAGGGATTATTTGGGACTTGTAACGAGACTTGGTGTTGACGACTTTCCCATCTCCCCCTTCCTCTTCTCCGTCTGATCCCTTCCTCTTCGTCTGTGTATGTCTGGACCTGGCGCCTCTTTCCTGTGTATAGCGCCAGGCCCCTTCACACTTTGTGATGAGCATGATGTATGTTTGGTCTGTGTTGAAACATCGATTGGGCTAGTCATTAGTACTCTAGCACTCTGCTTCGCTATCTTGTGCTACGTGAAAGAGGTCAGTCCCGGTCAGGTCAGGACTTGTATCTAAAGCACCTTTTGTATGTATCGAATGCACATTGCTCGTTGAGATTCCACTTGCACTGCATTGTCCATTCAGTCCTTTTTATCACATTGCATTTCCTCGGTTATTATGTACATCGCCCAACGGGGCATGTAACACACTCGAGGCCAGCCTTAAGTAGCAGTCAGCGAGGCTGTCTGGCCTCGGTGTATTTCCCCTCAGTCGTCCAGATTGACTCACAGCTGAAGGCCCGGATTGTGCAGTTGCAGACTTCTCCCTTGGACCTGATGCTGTCTGGGTACCTGCGTACAAACAAGTGTGTGTGCTTGACCTGCGGCCTGGGCTAGGTACCTTTGGACTTTGACTGTTGGGTGGACCGACAGTTGACCAAAGTCAACTGTCACACGCCCAGGCCCTGATTTCGTGAATGGCCTTTTCTGCCCTTGTTCGGCCTGGGCTGAGGGCGGCCAAGTAGACCTTCTGAGGCCCTCAGTTCCAGGAGACACATGGCATGGGTCATTACAACTGATTCTCCCTCCCACTGGTTTGAGGCTGGAGCACTGCTGCCACAGCGCTAGCGCTGGAAGAGGGCAGAGAGAGAGTGAGAGTGAGAATGAGGGTAGTCATCACTACGATAGACAGTGCACTGCAGCATAGCTCAGCATGAGAGAGAAGGGAGTGAGGTTTGAGGGACATCCTGTGCAGAATGGAGAGAGAGAGAGAGAGAGAGAGAGAGAGAGAGAGAGAGAGAGAGAGAGAGAGAGAGAGAGAGAGAGAGAGAGAGAGAGAGAGAGCCTCTTACCTGGACCTGCCTGGTGAGCACCTTGCTTGTGGAGGCTGGCATTGCTTGGACTGATGTTTTTCTTCATTTCGCCAGAGTGATACTGCATTGGGGACTGGCTTTGCCGATTGGCAAGGTGCTTGTGAGAGGCATATCGGCTTCACCATTAGTAGAGGG